CCATGTTGAAATTACGTCACAGGGGCAACTCGGACAACAAAATCTTGTCCGACTTCAACGTCATAAAAGGGGCGTTTCCGACGGGAAGTGACGTTTTTCGTGACGTTTTCATCCGAGTTCCGACTTGGAGAGAAGGGTCCAGCTGCAGACGCCTGTAGAGTGGAGATCCACCGGAAATACGTCACCTTCACAGGAAACACGTGGGCTCAACTCTGTGTCACAGCGAAAAAACCCTAACCTTAACCCTAACCCTAACCGGAGCTCCACTTTACGTCCTTAAAGATCACGTGTTTCCTGTGGAGGTGACGTATTTCCGGTGGAGCTCCACTCTACAGGCATCTGCAGCTAGACCCTCTTGGACTTGGAGAGAAATAATCGAACGCACCATAATTCGTACCAGTAGGGCCAGGGGCGGGCACTGTTCAGAGGGGCGGGCACGGTCATAGGGGCGGACACTATTCGGAGATCAGATCGAGTACCCTTTTGGCCAATCAAAGGAACTCATTTGGGCACCCAAACCAGGGTAAAAAAAAGGGAAGAAGAAAAACTGACTTAGTAGAGGAGCTGACAACTGATATATTAGGTGTGCTTTTTGGTATCACCCACCATTATACTTTTGATTAGTGATGCACCGGAATTAATTTAATTGTTATTAATTTTGTGTTGTTTTACCGAAATCGAAATTTATTATTTTTCGGGCGCATACCAGAACCGAAATAAACTTTAGGTAATTACTAGGGATGTATCTCGCAATATTACAACTTGAGATTTCTCATTGGAGTGAAAAGCTTCTAGTCTCGCGAAGGCGCTGCAAATCAGCTGATCTAAGCATGTCGGCGTTTGACGAAATTACCATAACAGATCTATGCCCCAGACACTTTTAAATCTTTTGTGTGGCAGTATTTTGGATACCCGGCGGAAAATATAAACGGCGAAAGGGTGATAAACAAAACACAAACCATCTGTAAGCATTGTAGGAAAATAATGCCGTACACAGCGGGTAATATGCTAATATGCAAAGTCATTTGCAGCACCATCATATTTAAATTATATTTAAATTTATTTAATGGCACAAAAACCTCGCGAGAGCAAGACGACTTAGGACAGATCATGCAGTGCAAGTGCCGTATGCGTGCCAGCTGCAGGATCGGTTCCGCGCATGCGCCGCCATGTTGCTGCAGGATCGGTCCCACGAAACGCTTTGTTTTACGGCAGACAGCGCAGTTCTGGACCCACACATAACATGCTTTATAGTGAAACTTTAAAGCAATATATGTATATTAATAAATTCGAGTTCTAATGAGTTTGAGAACTGAGGTATGTATATATACAGTGGTACCTCAGTTGTCGAACTCATTATAACTCGAATTTCTTAAAAGTCAAACCAACCAGTTCGAAAAAAAATTACCTAGAACTCGATCTGAATCTCAGAAGTCAAACCGTGAACGCCAACCTAAGATAACTTGTACGCGCAGGGAAATGAGTCATGCGGCACGTCTCTCAGCGGAAACAAAGGGTAACGCTTCAGTCTCAGCCTTGCGTTCGCTGTGATAGCATCGTGCATGTTTATACTAGCTGAATACATATATTTAGACAGTAAAAATATTCAATGATAGACAGTAACAGTAATTATTATTATATAATAAAATACATTATTTTAATATTAATAATAAACCATTAATACATTTATACATGCCCAGCGGGGACGGAATGGAGACAAAGGCACAGATGTCAGGGTATCGGGGAATACGGGGTTTAATTACAGGTAAGTCAGGCAAAACGCAGACGGACCATACAATGACCGGACTGGGGAAACAAATTGAAACGCGGACGAAGTACAGAGGACTAATGACAACAACCAGAAACAGCTGATCACACGGGGATTACACACGGGGTTAACGAGGGGGCGTGGCACACGGAAGAAGTGGACTATCGGGGCAGGACACATTGTTTTTTTTAACTTTACACATTGCTTGGATACATTTTCTTACTTTACAAATTACTGTTTTGATAAATGTGCTTAGATGTGTTTAGTACAGTATATGCTCTTCTTGTTTTATTCGGTTCATTTTGT